TTATTTTATGTAACAGTGTCTGGGGGAGTGCCAGATTAGATCTGGTTCACTGTCATAAGGGGACTTTTCCCATGAATGCAGATGATGCAGAAGTTATTTTTAAAATAGCATCCAAAATGGTTTTTGTGTCTACTGCATGCTCTTCAAATACCCTAAGCTGTTGGAGAGAACAGATACACCTGTCTGCTTCTGAATCCAATAAATGCTGGCTATGTTTTCTTTACCTGCATACTGAAGTGAGCCCTTTCCACCTTAGTTTCCCCCTTGAGCCCAGGATTTGATATAGCATTTAGTATTTGTTTTCTACCACTAATGATGTTGTTTTAAGACAAAATATATCCTGACATGCCCTCTGCTCTGGTAGGGTACTGCTCTTATCCTGTGTTGAATGCAATCTGTAGCTTCAAGAATGATTATTAATTCCAAATTAGAAGCTAACTATAGCCCATAAACCCATTCACTCAGACTGAATCACCAAACAGCTTTGATTTCAAATTCTTCTATTTCTGACTGCACTTTTCCTAATGGATAGGACAGAAAACAAATGCAAGTAAAAAGCAAAATCAATGACACTGAGTATGACCCAGTGGGTTATGACTTCAGATGCTAATCTCTTGCCACAGTTCCCCTCCCACAGACTGTGTGCATTAATAGCCTTTTCCCAGTCTGACAAGGGCACTGAAAAGCATTTGCTTGAAAAACCTGGAAAGCATTGGGTAACCCACACCCGCCCTCCCAAACCAGTCCCCATTACAATTCTATTTTTAACCAGCCCCTGCCTCCCCCTTGCTCAATTGCTTGTAACCTTGCATACAGTATAATAAAATATGATGGACCCAAATGTTTTGCTAAACAATGGAAAAAATATTCTGGCTGCACTGCTCATTTGTTTTCCCTTCTCAACTGGTTTTGTGTTTGTGCACAACAAATAAACACACAGCAGGCCTATGCATCCTTCTACAAACACAGATATGCAGCCACTGTATACAGACAGCAATGCAGCTTTCTTGTTTACTCTGCTTCCCTCATTTCCTCCAGATATTTTTGCACGCTGTCATTTGTGGAATACTGTTGAAACCCAAAGGGATGTCAGCTGAGCCTGCCTCACACTGCAAGCTGTTGGCAGGCTCATTAAGGCCAGGGGAACAGTGTGGATTCTGCTGCCACTGCCACAGACTGATGCTGCTGGCTGGAAGGATGCGGCCGAGCTCAAGGGGCCGCACCAGCTCATTTCTTCAGATGCTCCTCAGCCTTGACAATATTGCTGGTGGCACCACAAGGACTCTAAAGTTGTTACTAAAAGTGCCAGCAGCTGCTGTCAGCATTTATGGAGAAGAAATCCAATATAGTAAAAGTCTTCAAGGGTTTCAAACAGGGTAAAAGTGCATGTTTTCTTACTCCTTTTACCAGCCTTGACTGTACATTGTACAGCACTGCCTGTACAATGAAATTACTTGGCATTTGTTATTGGGTAACTACACTTTGTTTGTTAATTTCAGGCTTGTCTGCATTGTTTTATGATCTACCCAACTTAATTATTTCTAACTCTGCAGATATTACCTGCCATATTTTTTGCAGCCTCAGAGAATCCAAATATCTTGCCCAATAGCTTTTGGGGAAGCCGTCGCCTATTTGGGAGTCAAGGCAGAAGGCAGGAAGCAGAATGTAGCTCTCTTTCACAAAAGTCACCTGGCCATCAGCCTCTTTTTGGCTGATTCAGGTATTGAAAGAAAGGAGAAAAGCATAACAACTGAAATACACTTTAGCCACAGCTGCAATTTGGCTTTCCTGTGTTAAGTATCACCTAACTTCCTGCTTAATTAGGTTGAGCAGTGTTCAGTTACCCCATGGTTTAAGAAGGGCACTCTTGTTCATCTAGGCTGATATGAAATCAGATATGTATGTGTATTGCCCACAAAGGAGAACAAATCAGGAAAAAAATCCATTACATTTTGGGAATTTAAGTAGTCAAATTAAAAATGGGGAATTCAAAGTTCTTAGTGCTTGTTTTTGTTTCTGTTTTTTGTACTTAAGAGTACCACATGTAAAGCAAGATATTTAAGATCCAACAATCCTAAGGGGCACCTAAATCTAAGGACAGATGGAAGTTTAAGGAAGATTAGTATGTCTCAGCATATTGCATATCTGAATTGTAATATTCCTAAATCACTCAACCTGACATTGTTTTTTTTCCAAGCAAGGACTAGCACTATAACTATTCCATCACAATCAGGTTGTTCTTGATGACCTTCCAAAGACAAATTCCAGTGCCACAGTTAGCATCATCTCCTAATACTGCTGTGCCAGACCATGTGAAGGCAATACAGTACTTTCAACAACAGTCTATTTTCTGGAAAAAGTTGGATCCCATCCATGCCTTCCCTTTTTTCTGTCTAGCACATACAGACCACTGGCTTACCATATGTTTCCATGCACCTCCATCTCCCTCATTTCAACTGATTTTTATTTTGAAAATAAACACCTCAGAGCAGCACAGAAAGTAGGAGAATTTGTCTGCCATGTGTCTAGTAGATTTTAGCCACTATAAAAGCATTTTGATTAATCCATAAATTTGGTCTTTTCCTCTCATTCTTGCACAAAGTCACTCTCTATTTTCACAGCATTAGGGAAGAAAGGAGCTGTATTTCCAAAATTTTTAAGTATTCTGAAATATCGAGCTTTATGCCTTTGGTTTAATGGTATTGGTGGCCTGGCCCCATGGTATGGGCTATGAAGTAAACACTTTCAGAGCCAAATCAGAAATTCACTATGGCAAAGGCTTATCAGTCTGCACAGAGGCTATGCTGCAGTAAATACTCAAGTCACCTAACAAAACTGAAGTGAGCACGGAGGATCTAACCAGAGCAGAAATGGAAATCCAGAGATCTCCATTTTCTTCCTACTCTGCTGGAGACAGACTCTGTAAATGCGGGCAGAGCATTCAACCATCAACAGGTATTTGTTTAACTGCTCCTAGGTAGTTAAGGGAGAGCACAGGGAATACGGTTTCATTAGCATTTATAAGCAAAAGTGTGTGGAAAATATTGTTGCACAACTATGTAAGTTACCCTTATTCCACACAGTGGGTTCCAATGAAACAAGCATGAAAAGCAGCTCATGGGACTTTCTCCTGGGTTCAGCTGTAGTAATTTCTGCTCAGGGGCCGTACAGTGCTGTGTTTTGGATTCTCTGTGAGGGTAATGCTGATAGCAACAGCCAAAACACCAGTGTGCTAAGCAATGCTTGCATTAAGTCAAGGGTTTTCCAGCTTCCCATGCTCTGCACAAGAAGCAATCAGAGCCAGGACAGCTGACCTGAGCTGGCCACAGGGATATCCCACGCCACGGAACATCATGCCTGGTGGCACATACAGATAAGCTGGGAAGAGCTGGGCAGGAGGGGTCACTTGCTGCTGGAGGACAGGACAGGCATGGGTCAGCAGGTGATACTGTGCATCACAGGTTGTTCTCGGGTTTAATTTTCCTTTTTTCCCCCACCATTACAGTAATAGTATATTTTATTATCATTATTATTGCCATATTGCTTTGTTCCTATTAATAACTGTTCTTATTTCAACGCACCAGCTTTATCTTTTTTCCCCAGTTCTCCTTCCCATGGCAGTGGGGGCAGGGGAAATGAATGAATGACTGCATGGGACTCAGCTGCCAGGTGGGGCTAAGCCACAAGAGACCTAGGACTGCATTTTTTCCCTTTTATTCTTGGTTGCAGAGATGCAGTTTACAATCCCACCCCTCTACTGACATATTTTGCTCGTAAGACATTAGGAGAAGGAAGAGCAGGTAAAGTACTGCCAAAGTACGTAATCACATTTGGGATAACTAGAATATATTACAAAAACAAGGTTTACCAGATCACATGGGAAACAGTATTTTCTTCTAGGAAGGAACAGGAGTGATTTAAAAAGTACTCCCTTCAATTCAAAAGTCAAAAAGTACTTGGCAGAGAAGTAATTTTTTTTCACTTGCAGAAATATTTAGTCTTAATCTTTATCCAAGACTTGATTTTGCATTTCAAGTTTATTTCATGAAAAAAAATCAAAGAGAAAAATACTCAAAAAAAAGATGTTTACAAAAATTCTGAGTTCTTCTTGCTCAAAAATGTTAGCAGCTGAATTCATGAAAACCAACTGTTTGTCTAAATTTAGACTTGGCTTTGATAAATTGGCATTTTACAGAAGATTAGGCAAACATCTCCTGACTTCTGGTAGACAAATGTCAACTTCTCCTACATTTTAATTGTCCTTTCCAAAAGCACAAAAGTGCACAGGTACCTACTCTCACAGAAAACAAATGGGTGCCTTTGAAATCACCTTTACACAGGAGAATTAAAAGAAAAATCAAAATGTTTTTTAAAATCAAAATTTTGTTTAAAAGTTTCCTTGAATACATATGACAGGCCAGGCCGAATGCTCTATGATTTGCTGACAGATGGAACCAGACACAGACCTTCAGAAGAAAGGGGAAGCAGGAAGGAGCTGAGCACAAACATTTTAGTCAGCTCTGTCAAAATGTTGGCATTTCTACTAAGAAGGAATTACAGTATCCAATTCTGCCTGTTGTTCTGTATCACTCTATCAAATGACCATGTTTTTCTGAATAATTACCGTTAGCATTTCAGCTACTTCTACTACATTTTGCAAAGTTGTCCAAGCAAAAGTGACACTGACATTAAAATTCTATTTTGATTTTGAGCACAAAATTGTTTGACTTGCAAAGCAGAACCTCATAAATTATTTCATTAGTAATCTTTTTTCCCTGTAACTATCTCTTCACAATAACTTTGCTGCTGTTTTAACATCAATAATTCTGAAATGCAGGCACTCCTGAAACTCATGCATTCCATAACACCTCACACAGAGAGATTCCTCCAGCCCCACAAACCACATTCAATGTCTATAAAATACATAACATTCATATTACAGAGCACTGCTCAGTGCACAGATTTGTTACTGAAGTGAGGTCCCTTAGGGACAGACATACCTCAGAATTGTTGAGATGACACCTGTGTGTCCCTGAGAACCATCCCTCGCTCGAACATTGGTCAATGTCCACCTTCTGCAGATTGATGTCGACTTTGACAACACCTCTGAAAACAGAGAGGAAACAGCTTGAACACAACCTCAGAAATAGGTTAAGCTTTTTCATGATGCTGTAGCCTGAAAAGAACTACCTCTTTCTTCTAAATATGGAATTTGATAAAATGTTTAAAACCAGAAATGTTTTGTGCTCCCAGAACCATAGTCACAGAAACATTCTTATTTTAGACTTAACTGAGATGTACTACTGACAAGAGCTCAGTAAATCCAACATATTAAGACTAGGGTGGCAGTTAAGAACAAGTTGTATGTTCAAACAATGTAATGCCCTTCACATTTTACTGCACAGCAAAGACCCAAAATAAATACAGTGAAAGACCTGCACTATTTTTTGCCAGCAACCTTCTCAGCCAGTTCTGAGTGCAAGGTACCAGACACTGCATCTCACCCCATATCCAGCAAAAACTACATTCTCCCCTTTGCTCCAGGGAACCCTATTTGCCAAAACAACTGGCAAAAGCCTTTTTTTGTACCCTCCCCAGAGACAACCCAGCCTACAGAGACATTCAGGCCTCTTTTCTGCAGCTCAACATCCAAGCAGGCATCCAAGCCCCCTCCCCACATCTCTGCCAGATGGCCCTGCAATAAAACCTGATACAACTGAAAGCCACCAATAGACCACTGATGTCTGTGAAGGAAAAAAAAGTTTCCTATACACACATGTCCTGAAGGACCATCTAAATTGTCTAAGTACTACAACAAGAAGTCTCTAGGTTTCATCAACAGTTTACCTCAAAAATTCTTTTGAAAGAAAAGCTAACAAGCCAATTTCAAAACTGACACTCTACTGTATAAAACTTGAAAATCATCAGAAGAAAAAAGGTAGAAGACTGTAGTTCTATATCTTTAAAAAAAAAGCCTTCAAGGATTTACATATTCTTCAGAATGACCTAGAACATTTATAGCAACATTTTGTCAGAGCATTTCATCTATGACTGCTTTGCTGTAGTCCAGACTTGACAAAAATGGCAATATGCAACTTCTAGTTGCTAAATCATTACACAAACTCATTCATAGTGGATGAATGCTCTGTGCTAATTTCTTAAATCTAGAATACCATTCCTTCCTTTCAAGTCAATCATTTCAGCCACTTGGGACAGACGTCTTCATTTCTACAGTCTGGAATTCCACAACTACAAACACCATCATCTCCCTTCTTTCAGGCTGTGAACCAACAAGGGCATGGCCCAGCCTCTATCTTAGAAGTACCTCATTCACCTCAAAGTGTGTTCCCTCTTTTAATTAATGCTCACAACACAAGAATAGTAACAAGAGAGCTACAGAGCCATATATTTGAGAGGATATATATAAGTAAAATTAGAACATAAGAGTGAGCTTGATCAAAACCAGGACAATGTTATTCCTTCATATCTAACCCCAGTACAGCTAGAGTCCACAACAGCTAAATTTGGACATTCATCTTCAGGCATGTTATATAGTAAAAGGAAAAACACAACTACATCACGAAAGTGGTCAGAAGAATGCATGAGAAAATTACGTAAAACAGACAGTAGGAAGTTAGACAGTATAGGAGCACTCAATCCCACTCAGTCTCCTGACTAGAATCTAAACAATCTAATGATGGGCACATTTAGAAATTGCTTGAAATACTTAAGTGCTGGTTCTAGCAAGTTAAATTTAAAATAGCACACACCACACTTCTGGAACATTCTGATAAATTTTTAGCTTTTGCCTTTGTACACTTGTTTTGAACAGCAGTTTCACCAGGGACTGCTCAAACCATGTTTCTACCCCAAGGAGCTGTTTTTATCATGTTCCAGGTGAGCAATAACCTCAAGAGGAAAAACTGCCATATTGCACAGATTATCTCTTTAAAATGCTGATGTCAGTGGATTACAAATTTAACCTGGCAAGAAGGTGCCTGATTCAGATACCCCTAGTAGTAGAGATAACAGATCACTCATCTGGTCATGTGTAGATCCCACCAGGTATGTTTCTAATATTTTCTGGACCTTTATGAGCTAGTACAAATATTACTGTGTGGGCTGAGGACAGGACCTGTTCTGCAAATGAATACTCTCCCCTTGGCTGCATACAGGCACAAAGCAGGCAGTAGGACCAGGACCAACACTACTCCTTTCTCTCCTAATTCATATTATACGCCAGTCACATTGGCAAAGCTGTCAAGGATTAGCATCCTGACTACTCCAAAGAAATCAGTTTCTACAGTAGGAAAAGCAGTGATGATTCAATTTTAATAGAAATGCAACCCATTCACCTAAAGCACCTGACAGAAGAAGGTTTTATTTCCTTTACATGGAAAGCTTTTCCCTTGTGTACATTTTGTTTTTAACTAGTAGGAGAGGAAACTCACCTTTCCCTCCTCAAACATTTCTGCAAAGAGAAGTCCAGATTTCAAATAAAGGACAAACTAATCACTGCCAAAAGAGAAGAAAACACCTTTAAGAGCTGGCTGTTTGGTATCACGAGCAAGCCAAGCCCTGTAGAAGCAGAGTGCCAGTAAACAAAGGATATTTATATTTTCCAAAGAAAACTTACCTGGGGGTTACTTGTGAGAAAGACAACACACACAAGCCAGAGAAATTATGGTCATGAAGTACACTGAGAAGGCATTTGAGTATGGCCTTGTACCAGAAGTGATGCAATTTTGGAGAATTCATGGCATATTCCAATGGGACAAGCATCAGAAAGCAGGAGAGCATCCTAACACTCAGAGCCATGTACTGGAAAGAAAGGAATATACTTCTGGACTTCACACATCAGAACTGATTAAAGAACTTACATCCTTTGAAAGCTCTTTAATACAATTACTTTGATAAAAATAGATGTGAAAATCAGATTCATACAGCAACTGTCATTGGAAGAAGCCTCTTGTGATCAATCCAATCAGCTCAAAGCAGGCTCTTAAGTTGGGGGTTTTTTATACCTTCAATAATGGAGACTTCGCCATCTCTGCGAAATCCGATCTAGTGACTGACCAAACTCACAATGTCCAAAAAAAGATTTCTCATGTTTAAATGAAATTTCTTGCATTTCAGTTTGTGCCTCTTGGGATTTCCATCCTTTCATTGAGTAAGGCTGAGAAAGGTCTGTCTCTCTCTCCTTTACACTTTTTCACTGGGTACTTACACATAAAATGCCCCTGGAGCCTTTTCTTCTTAAGGCTGAACAGTACCAGCTCATTCTGTCCTTCTTGTGTGTCACATGCTCCAACCTTTAACCATCTGTGTGGCCCTGCACTAGGTTTACTTCAGTACATCCATATCTCCCGTCCTGAGGAGCCCAGAAGTGGACATAGCACCCTTGATGGGGCCCCCCACCAGGCTGGGTAAACAGGAAGGATCACTTCCCTCAGCCCATTGGCAAAACTCCCTCTCACCAACCAGGAGGCTGTTGGCTCTCTCTGCCACAAGCACATCTTGGTGATTAATGTCACACTGGTGCCCACCAGGAGTGTATCAAAAGTGACTGACCTCCAACTGGTCAACAGCTATCTATACACAGAAGGCTGCTGAGTTGGTTAAACACAAGTTCCCCCTCAGAAATCCATGCTGACTACTCCCAATCACATACCTCCTCTTCATGTGCTCCAGAAGGGGTTTTCACAATGATTTGCTCCATCACCTTCCTGGGGACCGAGGTGAGGCTGATCAGCCTGTAGTTCTTGCACTTTCCAACATCTTTTGTCACAAAGTACACTTTTCCATTCAGTAGCTTTCATTCCAAAGACCTTGGAAAAGATCTTTAAGATCATTGAGTCCCAGCCATTAACCAAGCACTGCCAAAGTCACCACTAGACCATGTCCCTGAGTGTCAAATCTTCTAAATGCCTCCAGGGATGGTTACTCAACCCCACCAGCCTGTTCTGATGCATGACAATCCTTTCAGTGAAGCGAGTTTTCCTAATACCCAATGAAAAACTCCTCTGGCACAAGTTGAAGACATTTCCTCTTGTCCTGTCACTTGGGAGAAGAGACCAACCCCTACCTCACCCCAACCTCCTTTCAGGCAGTTGTAGAGAGCAGTAAGGTCTCCCCTGAGCCTCCTCTTCTCTGGACTAAACTCCTCCAGCTCCTCCTCATAGGACTCATGCTCCAGACCCTTCAGCAGCTCCACTGCCCTTCTCTGGACTTGCTCCACCCTTTTAATAGCTTTCCTAAAGTGAGGGGCCCAAAACTGAGCACAGGATTTGAGGTACAGCCTCACCAGTGATGAGCACAGGGGAATGATCACTTCCCTGGTCCTGCTGGCCACACTATTGCTGATACAAGATACTCATGATCACAGTCAGGCTGACAGTCTCCATATTCCTCCCAGGTTATCTGCCCCTCTTCCACCTGCACTTTCAATTTACACTTAAGTTTTGTCAGGATCACAGTTAAGCCATCCAAGCTCAAAAATATTTTCATAATACTTCTTTCAGAAATACTACAAAATTCTTTCATTTCAAACTAAACACACATTCCTTTTGCTTCTCTTGTACTAAAGTTTTTCCTACAAGAATGTTTGCCTTTCACAAAACCCAATCTTCATGAACTCAATGCAAACTTTTTTATCTACACTCTTCTCTCCCATCTGCAGCTCTTCTGTAGCACAACCTGAACTTTTGACATGACTAAGTTGTTCTTGTTTTCCCTTTTCCCAGAGCTTTGTGAGTTTCTGGTGTGAAAATCTACAGCAAGAAGAAACAGGACAGTGCAGGAGCAGGAAAGCAATCACAAACTGCCATAGGATTTCAACTGCTTCCCCCCATGGTGCATATTATTATTCTTTTTTCACTAGACCTCTGCAATACACGTTTCATAGTAACATCACAGTTCTGAAGTAGTGCCAGGGTCTGAAACTACTGGAGGATACAGCGCTTTCAAAAGCAAAGTTTCTTTACACGTATATGTGGCATTCTTAAAAGGTGTCATGGTGGTACAAGACTTCTACTGCGTTCATTTGAGATCCATTTTAAAACACCTTCTCAGACTTGCACCCCACTGCTATTACACAGAGCACACTA